GAAAAAAAAAAAAAAAAAGTACAGAGGCAGAGCTTCACTAAAAGCTGGGTCCATCATCAAACATTTTTCACAGCTCACATCAGCCAGCTCTTTGGTATCCACGGAAGGATGCTTTTTTTCTGTAATGTAACAACTTGAAATATGAAAAATTACTGTCTACATGATGAATATTTGACTTATGAACAAGTTAGAAAATGACTGAGCCCATGCTGGCTCCTGATTCCATGGAGATACAAGCAGGAGGGCAGCACCTCTGTAACAGCAAAGGTAGCCATGCAAGCCAGGCAGCCCTGGTGGGGCTTAACCTCAGGGCTCATACACATTACACTTGAGAGGAACACGCCTTTCTAAAATGCAGTTTACAGCAAGAGAAAATATAAAGGACCTGAGAAGACTGGGCAGGGATTGTAAACTGAAAATAAAAGTCCCATTTACAGACTCACAGTATAGATCACCTCCAAGAACCCCCAAAAGCTTTCTCTACTGGGCTACACTTGCCCTCCGGCCTTGTTTTCGGTCAGCTGGGATTTGAAATTTACTTAAAATAATAACAGAAGGATTAAGAGCTTTAAAGAAATCTTTGCTTATACAAATTAGACTGACTGCTGCTAAATTTGGGATTGACTGAGAATAAATGCCATCACTGACCTCCTGTCTTCCTCACTCTCAGCCTGCTGGCTGTTTACTCATCGCTGTGGTGGCCCAGGCCTGCCTCCGCTCCCAGGTTAGGCCAGGAGGACAGGCAGCCAGCAGGCGACATTTCTTCATCTAGATACTACTTCCCATTCTCAAACTAATGTAGCACAACACTAGTTCAGTTTAACACTCCCCATCACCTTGTGCTCCAAAAAATCCTTATTTGTCTCCAGTCTTTAAGTCAAGCACCTGAAGATGTGTATCTCATTATCTGTTGTGTGGAGCCAATTAAGGATCTGTGGAATGTGTGTCAATTCACTTTCAAACTAGGTTTGGTTTCACGAAACACTGGCTTTTTTTTTAAATTCAGCAACTCCTTGGTGCTTCCGCAGCCACTGTTCCACATAGCACACCTCCACTAAAAATAAGCAAGGTCAAAAGGAAGGACAATAGAAACTTTTGTTTCGTGGGGCAGTTAGAGCAGAAGGGGAACCGGCTGAGTTCTAAGGGCTGTGAAAATGACGTTTAACCCGTGTCCATGATGGACATGAGTAATAGAAAGCAAAAGTTTGTGTGAAAATAGCTGCGTGGTTAAAAACAAATACTCTCTTTGAACACAGCTAAATGCTAAAATCAGACAGAGGACCTACATTTGGTATCAAAGAAGGGGAAGACGATCAAGAATCAGGAAGAGGTACATGACACAATCTCCTTAGGAAAGCTGTCGTCTTCCATCTCAAAGCTAGCTACCTTAGTTCCAAGAGGCTGCAATTTGGAAAAAGCTCAGTTCTTTGAGTTAAAGGCAACTAATTCTGTTACTCCATGAGAATGAGGATTTCAGTTCATCAGACACAGACTAACAATGGCTGATTCTGACAGACAAATCCCTGGTCCGTCCACCTGAGGGATTCTTGAGACTAATGCTTTCAGGGTGTCAGTGCCTCTATCTGCAATTCTTTCAGCGCAGTAGCAAGTCTTCAAACAGTTCAAACGTACTTGCAACCTCTATCAAGTAAATATTTCCAATTTCAAATAACCATTTAAACATTTTTTAGTACACCATGACATCAGTAAAACCATTTTTTTTTAAAGCTTATAGTGAAAACAATAAGAACATTTCTTAAGGAGTCATGTTTGTAAACACAATAAATTTCTTTAGACTTCACATACCGCATATTACCATAGAAAATTCTTTCTCATGACTCCCTTTACCCACAATCCAATAATGCCAATATTTATTAAACAGCAATGTAATTCATTTAACCAATACAGGGGAGTGCTAAACAAGAACATTTTAAGGTTCATTAGAAAGAATGATTTACTGCACACCTGTAATTCTAAATTACACCACCAAAGATGCACTGAAAGGGCTGAGCCAGGGCATTCATACCAGTATGCCAGGGGAGTATGAGAACCAGTTTGGAAGTTTCTGAATACATGACTAGGCTGGTTCCACACTGAACACAGTGTAAAATAGTAAATTGAGGTGAACTGCTTCTACATCCAGAAACGCCATGGCTGCTGCTGCCGCCACTGCCACCAGCTTCAAAGCTTCCAGAACTGAGTGACTGAATGGTGAAGCAGTAAAAATGTCACCTACTTTACCCAGCATGTCCCAAAACTGGTTCTCACACTCCTGAAAATGAAAAATTAATTTGGCCTGCCATCTCTTACGAAATTCTAACAATTGCATTTTCAAAGCCACATTCCTGGTTCTTGGAACTACTATGCCTTATTATCGATAGAAATACCAATTCAGCGGTTCAACCAAATCACAAGAACACAAAATTTGGGGATTATTCCAAGAACTAATTCGAATGAGACCCAACTGTACTGTGCGGAAATTCTAAGCTTATATTGAAGCAGCAGTCCCAAAAACCAAGAACACTGCATCTGGGATGCCACATGACACGCCCCTCAGACAAAAAGAAGAAACTTCGCTCTTGCCCTAGGAGCATTTGCAGGAATGATTTGGCTGATCAAGGAAGGAAAACCAATCTGACACCAAAACGTTTTTGCATCCATGTTATCTGGAGAAATACTACATGTGAGCAGCACATGGCACTCAGACTGTCCGGAGAGGTTCCCATTGCCTAGTGTCACTTGCATGGCATGGTGGAATTAAGTGATGGGACAATGATGGCAGGAGGCCGTGCGGAATTTCAAAATCCAATGCTGGGAGCACGAGTACACATACCAAAATGGCCTATCCAAGTGGCATCTCTTTCTGTCACTGAAATATTAATCGTTTGACAAATCAAGCTCACATCTGTTTTCATTAGGAATACTCCAGAAAACCAGTACCTTTCAGTCCTTCAAAAAGACTCCATTAAGGGTAATAGTACGATTCCAGGCTTCCCTTAGCAGGATGGTAAGGGAGACCTCATGGCAATATACAAATTGTTCTCTATCAATAAAAACCAAATGAGGGTTGAACAATCTCTTAGTCCTGAGTGCCACCAGCAGGGCCAAGAATCAGGAAAGAAGGAAGGAAGACAAAAGCAGAATAGGAGTGTGGGAAGAAAGAGAGGACACACACAGTGTGCAAAGGCAGGGACTTCCTCAGACCTCCTGGTGGCAGCACAGCCTGGGTAACACCCCCTGCCCTGGACCAGAATTTGGACAACTGGGCTGCGACTGATGCGCGTCTTAAGGCATTACAAAGCTGATACCTTATTTTGAGCTCGCCAACTGTCACTCTACTGCATTATTTCCCAGGAAAAAGGGAGGGGAAAATAAAAGCCTAACAGTTTAAATACAAGCTAATGTTTAGTAATTTAGAACAAGCAACACAAGTTCCAGCTACCGTATTTTGATCCCAGAAAGACATGCACAAAATTACCTTCCTGCCAGAATTTAAAAGCTTTAAATAAAAAAGAGGGGGAAAAACCTCTCCCACCTAACATGAAGAATTCAAAAAGTATCTGTAACGCAAAAAGGTTCCCTTCAAGCTTAATTGAAGCCCTACTAACCATATTAAGCCATAAAATCACTGGTAGGCCAAGGGACCATACAAACCACCCTGTTGGACACACAGGTTCATGACCACAAAAAAAAGTATGGAGGGAGGGCATAGCTCACAAACTTGGATAGAATACATGCTCGCCCCAGAACAGCTTCCACTGACAAAATAACCAAGGAATCAGCCACAGAGAAGATGACACGCCAACCTTCTTACCCTACGCCACCACCAGTACCATTACCTTTTTCTTTAACCAGGTCTTTAAGGGATTGCCATTTCACATCAAAAGGTATATTTGTAATAAAGGCTCTGTATCTTTTAGTTGGGTTGGCATAAGGCTCAAAACGATTGCCTCCTCTTTTCATGCCTTTCTCCTTCCTCTTCTCATTCTGAGTAGGCCGTTCTCCTTCACTGAATTCAAAAGAGAAAAGCACAAAAGGTTCATGTGTTAGCACAACACGAAAGACAGTATTTGCTTTTCCAGGTTTATAATTCCACACAAAGTTACCTATAACAAAAACTAATGTTGGTTTTGACTTGGGACATTTAAACTAAAATGCTCCATACAGCCAAGCTGGAGTACTGTTCCTTACAACCCACCTATCAGAAAGTACATTCTCTGCACACCTCCATGGGGCTGTACCAGAGTGAGTGAGGGGCCAAATCCCTCCCCAAGGGGCTTTAAGTCTACACCCAGAACTGAGAGAAAGATTTGCAAGATTTCATGAGAAATGAGAAGTGGTTCATCTAGGCCCAATCAATGTTAACCTCATAAATCAAAGTATCTTTTGCATGTAGTTAAAAAAGAAAGATGCCATTCTCTACACAACGCTACTACTTTGAAACTAGGAAAATACAGTTCAAAGAAGCCTGTAGGTAAGAGACCAACTAGGCAAACAATCCCACCTTCGGTAAAGAAGGGTGGAAGCCTTTCCGGTGTGCCCTTTTCTGTAGCATTCTTTGCCCTTAGGTGTCAGGTGCCTCCATCCTGTTAACATTCCATTTCTAAGCTCTACAGATACAAATTTGGTTCTGACTGGGACAAGAAAAAAGTTTCCAAAACGCAGATTTCCAAAGTACAGAATGATTTATCAGTGGTGGTCCAGACCGTGGCATGGGGAGCACAGGCCGGCATGAGACCTACCTTAGCAGTACCCACATACTGGCCAGAGAGGTTGTTCCCAGAGGTGCTCTGCAGTCAGCCCCTCGCTGACTAGAGAGAGGCATCTGTCTATGAGAACTGGCCAGGAACAAGTGCAGAGCCAGCAGCCACAGGAAGTCTCTCTCAGGCACTGAGTCCTGACCTTCCTACACAAGCCTTATGCTTTC